AAAAAAGATTTACTTTATGTATATGAATACATAGGGCATCAGATTGCATTACAGATGGTTGTGAGCTACCATGTGGTTGCTGGGAATTGAACTCAAGACTTCTGGATGAGCAGTCAGTGCTCTTAACCACTGAGCCATCTCTCCAGCCCCACTCATATTTCTCTTAGGTTGGAGAACATGTTGATCAACAGAAATTAAGGAGATTTAGACACAGAGCTCCATCTGTGACAAAGGAAGTGTACATTCACCCTTTTGTCTTGTTATGTGGGTTTGTCTGCTGTCACTTACAGATAAAATAACTTTGGAAGCCACAAGTCCACTAGTAGACAAAGTAATGTTTGTCCTGCCTATGCAGAGCTGACTAGGAAAAACCATGAATTTTACAGCCTGATTCAGAAGGCTGCATGCTTTTCTAGTGCTTTCCTTACCCAGAAGGGATCTGGTTTCATCTTTGGGAGTTTGATGGGTCCCAGTCTCTTTTGCTTAGTTTGTGACCTTGGTTGGAATCCATTGGACTCACCAATGTGGACCATGTGGGCCAGTGGTACCCAGAAGCAGCAAAGAACTCATCCTTAGGGCAGCTGTGGTAACATGTACATCTGAATTCTTGAAGCCATAGGTGCAATGCTTCACAATTTGTGTTCTGTGGTAGAAATTTAGCTGTGGTGCCAGGCCCCAACATCTCCTTCATCCCAACTGATTGGAGGCTCTATGGACTCCCCCATCAACCAGAGAAATCTTTCCTACCTGTTTTCTGTTGCTTATGACTAAGACCCCTACTGACATACACAGCCTTCAAGCCCAGAAAACTCATCTTACCCTGAATCTCTTTCCTGATCTCCCCCTAGAAGCCACATGCTCTTCTCTCCAGCACTTCTAACTTACCTACTGTCAGGGACAGCTGACAGGTGACTTTAGTGCAGCTCCACCCCAGGATCAGAGACATCCGGCTGTGCTGAAACCACAGGCCTCCTGGACTGTGGAACAGGAAGTGTGTGCTGTTTCCTAGGGCCACTGGTGTGGGAAGGACAGAGAGGTGATGTCTCAGATTTTGCTCAGTGAGTTCTTGAAGGCAAAGACTTGGGGCAGTAAAGCTAGCAGGTTCCTAGGGACTGTGAAGGGAATGGGCAATCTCCTGAATTCAGCAGACTCTGTTTCTAAGGAAATGCCTGGATTGGGAAACAGAAGGATGGAGGCCAGTGGCTGGCCAGCTGAGGGGGAAGGAAGGCAAGAAAAGAGAGGAAGAGGAGTCTCTGGCACCTACACCAGCCTGTGGCTTCAGTGACAGAGAAGTCTCAGCACAAGTCATAGAGTCTGATGATGCCTGTGGCCATTAATAACATCACCAGGACACTGAACCAGTCCGGCATCCCCTACCTTTTGGCTTATTGGGTGAATAAGTGGTATGAAGTTGGGGCATTGCTAGTTAGCCATTTTAATCTTTGATCAACCAGATACACTTTAGTTGACCTATGTTCAACCTTCCAAAGCCTTCCTCCCTTTCTCTACACAAGCTAGGATGTTCCAGAAGTTCCCAACAGAGGCACATGTGGCCCTACTGGATGATTTAAAATCATTTGTATTGCCAAATAAGATGGATCTTATACCAACCCATCCTTCTCTCCCTCCCTCTCTCCTTCCCTCTCCTCTCTCCTCCCCCTCCCCCTTCTTCCCCTCCCCCCCCTCCCCTTCCCTCCTCTCCTCTTCTCTCTCTCTATCTCCTATCCCTCCCTCCCTCCCTCCCTCTCTCTCCCTCACTCTCTCTCCAGGATCTCATTTATAGCCCAGGCTGGCCTCAAACTCACTATCATCCTGTCTCAGATTCCCGAATACTGGAATCACAGGCATGCGTCACTTTTGGTATCAGGCTTCACCTTGTTCTCGGAGCCTGTCCTATGAACAACAGGAAGTAGTGCTAATAAATGCAGCTTATTTTTTTCTGATGCTAAATCCTCTCTTTGGATGGAAAACAGTCCATTCCAAGTTTCCATACATTCTCAATGGGGGTCCCCTCTCCAGGGGGCTCCTGGGTAGCATGTAAGTGCAGGAGGCATACTGCCCATATTCCGGTAAGACTGTGTGTTCACATGTTTTCACTGAAAGCCAGTTTTATTCCGTGACTTTTTATTCCATGAGAACAAGTCCTGATGCAATCTTATGCTAGTGTTATTTTTATGACACTCCAATTTTTTAAAAAAATGTTTCTTTATCTTATGTACATATGTTTTACCTGCACATATGTGTGTGCACCATGTGGATTTCTGGCCTACAAAGGCCAGAAGGTGGTACCATATCCCCTGGAACTGGAGTGGTAGACAGTTGTGAGCTGTATTGGTGCTGGGAACCAAACAGAGTCCTGTGCAAAAGCAATAGGTGCTTTCACCTGCTGAGCCACCTCTTCAGCCTCCAACACACATTGAAATTCCATAAACCCCCAAATTACTCTAAGAAAAGTAAAGAATAAAGGGCTGGTGGGTAGATCGGGCCTGGGGAGGCAGGTGAGATGAACAACTGGGCCTCAGAACATTTGGGTCTCAGTTTCCTACGTCCCTGGCTAGGTTTGTTGGCATAGATGTATCTGTCAAGGGTTATTGGGTCTTAGGGAACGACTCAAGGATATGACTCGACTCCTGGTGCCCACATGTAGGTGTCATCCCTAGCAATGGCCTAACTGAACAACTGTCCCTGTACAATGATTGCTGCTGGAGGCCTGGTAGGTGTTTTATATTTATGTGGTAGAGCTGGGATTCAAACCCAGTCTATCGGGGCCAAAGCTATTCTCTGCTCCCCATTGGAATCCTCCTTGGGGTAAGGTAGGGGACATGTGGGTTTTGTTTGAGTCTGGAGATTTTAGAAGAGGCATTGGTCTCTAAGCAGAGCCTATGGGCAGCTGAGATTCTAGTCCCACCCCCTGTGATCTAATAGATGCCCTAGAAACCATGTGAAGTTCTATAGGCACTGGGCACTCCCACATCCCATCCCTCATCAGAGAGAACAGGCAGTACAGTGCTGGGAAGAATGGACAAACACGGTGAGTGGGGTTAGAAAGGGTGTGGACCAACCTTGAGCAACCAGCCCATCACCATGATGATGCTGGAAAATTTGAACTTTTCCTAGTAATCCATCCGTGTTTCTACAACCCCTTGGCTTTCTCCTCCTTAAATATTCCTGTCCTCCTCCATCAGTTCTCTTATCTTTGCTTGTTCCTCTTCAGACCTCTCTTGTCTCCTCTGGCCTGGATGTTAAGGCTCTTTTTTCGAGGGGAGAGGCAGGGTGGGCAGGGTGGCATTCAGGAGGCAGAGGAAGGTGATTCTCTGTGAGTTTGAAGCCACCCTGGTCTACATAATGAGTTACAAGATAGCCAGAACTATAAACAAACAATTAAGAAAATTCCACTCCCAAAACAAAAACAAAATTAGAGTGTAGGGGGTTTAGACGGGACTCAGATTGTAGCCCAGGCTGGTTTGGAACCTATTACATAACACAGGATGCTGGTCTGAGCTCTCAGCAATCCTCCTGCTGCAGCCTTTCTTGTGCTGAGATCATCAGCATGAGCCACCACCTATTTTTTTTACAGTGATTATTAAAGTCCCCTATCCTGTTGTAGGGAACATGCTACAAGACAGTCTGCACATGCCTCAGAACATCAGAACATGCATGGCTTCCCATCACTGACAACCAGCTTCAAGCCCTAGCCTCCCCTTCCAACCCCATCCCCTATTCCTCTTTTTCCCAAACCGTCTCCAGCAACTCTTTCCGGCTGGGTTAGGCCTGGCCTTCACTACCATCTGTTTCCCTGTGGCAAGGCCAAAAATCCGGCGGTTTCAGATACTCTTGGTCACATTTAGAGAGACCCCTCCACGGACCACCCCTTAACCCCCATGAAAAGAGCTGCCAGGATGAAGCGGCACCGTGAAAAAGCGAGTTGAGCCCATAGTGCCTAACAATCACTTGCTTTTCCTCTTGCTGTGACAAATCCCTGACAGAAGCAGCAGCTTAAAGAAGGAAACAGTTATTCTGGTTCACCATTGAGGGTCTCTTGTGATGGCAAAATCCTGGTGGCAATGCGAAAGGTCACATGGCATCTGCACTCAGGACACAGGGCATCTTGGTTTTCTCCTTTGCACTCAGCCCACAGGACGGTGTCATTTATATTCACAGTGGGTCTTCCCACATCACTTAAACCAACTCAGAAACTCCTTCTCACAAACTCTTAGGTGTTTTTTTGATCCTGTCAATTTGACGTATTAACCATCACAGTGTCCAACACACACACACACACAAACACACACACACACACACTTTGTTGTCCATTACTATTATTCTGCTCAATTTTCAACCTGGGAAACAGATGGATGGGTCTACAGAAATAGTCCTGGATCTTTCCAGGGCAGACCCCAAGCCCTCCACCCCCTTGCTCCCTTCCCTGTGTGCTAGATGAATACCTGCTGAGGGAATGATGGATACCTCCCAGAGAAGGCCTGCTTGTTTTCTGTGTCAGCTGAGGAACTTGCTTCAGGCCCTCATCTATTACTAGAAGTTGTGTGTGAGCTGACAGAAGTGTTAGGTAGAGGGGGTGGTATGGCTGAAATCCACTTACAATTGGTCAAGTCTGAGACCCGTTTCTGGTTTAATCATCTATGCCTGCCCACCCCACCTCCAGTGAAACTGGGCTTCCTGCCACCAGGGAAAATCACACTTAGAAACAAACATACTCAGGAGGCAAAGGCAAGAGGATCTTTGTGAGTTACAGACCAGCCTGGTCTATATAGTGAAAGCTTCTTCTTCAGCTAGAACAACATAGTGAGACTGTACCAATAATTAATAATTACTAATTCATTTTTATAAACAACCACTTATTGAAATAACAATTGGTTTACTAATGTTGGGTAACCCTCCTCCTTCCGGGTTGGCAATATATGTTCGTTGATTGCTTGCCCAACGCCAGCAGGAAACTGCTTTACCCAGATACTATCTGAAGTCAGCCTCACAGACACTCTTGAGGTAGATGCTACTTTTCCCGCTTCAGAGACGGAAAAATGGAACTTGATGGAAGCGAGGTGACTTGCTTGGAATCCTTAGCAAGGAAGCTCAGGAGGGTGGGAACTCGGCAACAGTCCGGGAATCTGGGACTCCAAAGCCCTTTGGCAGGTAGCAGCCGGCCGGCGGCATCTCCCCCACAGCAGCCAGGGTAGGGGGCTGCACTGACCCTGTCCCCGCCTACAGGCGTGAAGGCCCCTTTGTGGAGGAAGGAGGTAGAGGATCCCGAGGCCAGAGAGGAGGAGCTGGAGGACGATTCATCATCGTCCTCGTCGTCGTCGTCGGTAGAGGAGAGGTCGGACCCGGAGAGCGCGACGGAGACAGAGGAGGACTCCCGAGACGCGGATGAGCGTGAGGCCCGCTCGGTGTCCTACAGTCCGCTGCGCCAGGAGCCCAGCAGCCAGCAGGTGGCGCTGCTGCGACGCTCGGATAGCAGCTTCTGGGGCTGGCTCAGCCCGTTCGCTCTGCTGGGTGGCCTGGCGGCCCCCGCGGACAGGTGAGACGCAAAGGACCTGGGGCCGAGCCTTAGGGAGGAGGGCCGCCGGGCTCTGAGCACACATGTCCCCGGCCCGCAGGAAGCGGGGTGCCCCGGAGGAACCGTGCGTGTTGGAGACGCGGCGGCGGCCACCGCGCCGCGGGGGCTGTGCGCGCTGTGAGATCCTTTTCTGCAAGAAGTGCAAGACTCTGCACAGCCACCCGGCCTACGTGGAGCACTGTATTCTTGAGCACCCTGACCTGGGTAAGGCGGAGGCCGCCGGCAACTCTGAGCACATCCACTCCCAGCCTCTGCGCCCTCAATGCTCCAAACTCTTCTATCTGTAGTGAGTTCCACAGAACTGTCCCTTCAAGCCGCCATCCTTAGCGCCTCCTTCCGGTGAGAAGTCCCTCTGTCGGTTCACGGTTCCACCTGTTGTCTTGCAGAAACTAAGCACTCCTCCCCAGACAGTACCCAGCACGTGCAGCCCTCCTGACCCTCACGCCTTCAACACAGCCTTACCTGCATCGTTTTCAGGTCCTCTGGCCTCTATCCAGGCAATGGCCTGGAGAAAAATAGCCTCGGGGTTTCCTCAGCCCTCTTAATAAATTGCCTCTCTCCCTCTAACTCGGCAATAAAGTCTCCAATCAGAGTCGCTTGAGGTGGAACGGAGTGAAAAACATGAGACTCTCCTTTCTCTCCCGCTGGGTACAACCCAGACAGCAGGAGGCCAGCTGGGCGGTTCCTCCATGTTTTCCCTGAGACAGGGCAGCACAAAGCACTTGCATCCAAGGGCAGTCAAAGGCCATTCTGTCCACTGCACAGAGAAGAAAGGAGGGCACATGGCCAGCAATGCCTCTGGGGAACTGTGGGCTGCTCCCTTGCCCGATTCTCCCCGAGAGCTGGCTGTTGGTGGTCACTGTGTGTGTGTGTGTGTGTGTGTGTGTGTGTGTGTGTGTATTTGCAGAGACACTGGTAGATGGAGAGAGAGGAGTGAGGGCTGGAGATCCAGATGCTAAAATTAATACTGAGACAGGCTGAGACAAAAGGGGAAGGCAGGGAGCCGGTTCCTTCTCCAGGAATCCCAGCTATTCTTGGCTAGACAGCATGAGCTTCGGAATGCTGCTGCGTGTGTGGCCTGGAGAATGGGGCCATTGCAAGCAAACGGGCCTCACCCAACCTGCAGAGTGCTATGGCAGCTACATCCTGAGCGGACCCCCAAGGACCCTCTTCCATCTTCCTGATGCTCAAGGTGTCCATCTTGGAGGCAAATGGGGTGGAGAGGTTCTGCATTTTGAAGAGAGGTTCGCCCCAGTCTCTCCATGATAACCATATACAGCTGGCTGGCCCTGGGTTGAATGTAAGACCGTGGTCCTCGTGTCTCCAGCACCCAGTGCCCATGTGCTTCTATTGAGAAGGGTGGATGATTCTGCCCAGGGAAGGCTGCTACACCTCTAGGTTGACCAACTGGGGAGTGCTTTTTCATTCGCCCAGACAAAAAGTCAGTCCCAGGAGGAACACAGTCCCTTCTGCTTTGCCTCCTGATCCAACAGAGAGCATCTGACAGTGGGGATCCTTGAGATTTCACTACATCCCTGCTTGCTGAGGGTAGGAGGTGGGGCAAAGTCTCTGATGAAATAGCACTCGATTTCCCAAGAACTGAGCCTGAAAGGCACCGAAGGGGAGGGTCTTGCAGATAGTCTCCTGGCTCAGCTGAGTTTTGCATCTTCCCGGGACTCAGCACTATGGACTTACAGCATCTTCACTAGAACAGAATCTGCCTTCCCACATACACATACAAGTGGGAAGGAAAGAAGTCCTTGAGGGAAAAGGCTATAGGAACTCTAGTTCTCCTTCCACCGCAGAGAACAAATGCAGACTGATTTCCTGCTTGGAGTCCTTGCTGCTCAAGAGCTTCTTGAGAGGTTCAGGGCCTTCCTAGACAGACCCCACCCCTCAGGCGGCAGCAACCACGGTTCATTCAGTGATGGGGAGCCTTCAGAACAGGGCACCTCCTGAGTTGGCATTCCAACAGCCCATCCAGGACAGCTCGGTGGCCCAGCGGCCGGAGCTGGTCACCCGCAGTTTGGCTTGATCCAAGTGCCAATAGTGGTCATCTCTGAAGAAGATAATGGAGCCGTCCGGCCTTGGCAGGGCGCCGCTGACCTCCTCAGGGACCCCGGCCCAGTCTCGCAGGCTGCGGGGATAGTAGGGCTCCACTTGCATCCCTCCTCGAGCCAGCACATAGTAGCGGGAACCCTTGAAGAGAACTAGGCGGCGCAGAGGCGGGAAGAAGAGAGCTGCGTCCGGGTGTCGGGGTAGACCACCTGCCCGGCAGAGCTTTGCGAAGCCCCACACGGACTTCGTTCCCTGGAACCTCCAACAGCGATTCCCTGTGGGGCATTGAAAGCCAGAGTGAGGTGGAGGCGCTCACTCATTGGCTCTCCACTCCATCTCTGTCACCCTGGTCCCTACTCTTTCTAGTCGGAGCCCTAAACGGTATCCTTGGAGCCAGGTGTAGTCTAGACTTCACCCGGCAGGTGTCGACAGAGAGCGGAGGATGCAAATGACCCCAATCCCAGGCTGGGAAGGGTAGAAGGGTGCTGAGCTGAGAATGGGCATGAGAGGTGGAAATAGGATTTCCTGCCTGGGTGTAGAATGGAAGATTGGGAATGCTTGAACTTGTCTTCACTTCCCAATTACCAATAATTTCCCGAGGGCAAAGGTGGACACAAGGAACACAGCATTGGTTGAAGGAATGGATGTCGCTCAGAACAGTATTACCACGTGTCCAGTCCACCCTTCAGTCGCTACAAGTTATCCGGCTTCCTCATCACACCTGAGTACCACTTTCTCTATCCAAGAAATACAAGTTCCAAAAGCTAAGCGACAGGCCAAGTTCACACTGCCAGGATGGCAGGGCAGACACGGCCAGCCTTTCTGCTGGCTTCAGACTGGAGAGCAGTCTTCTCCCTACAGTCTCTACACAGGACACCCTGGACACTTGATCCCAATTCCATCTCTAAAAGGAGACTTTCTGGGCCACAAATTCAGCTTGAGGTTAGTCCCTGAATTCACCAGGGACTCATTGTTGGGGACCCTCCCCTCCTTTCTCTGCAGGCAGGACACCCACCCACCACATCTCAATCTCAGCTGACTCAGGGCTGGTACCTTTGAAGAAGTAGAAGTCTCCATCTTCCAAAGACACGGCAGCAGCCTCAATACTTGGGGGCAGTCCCGGCCATCTTTTCTGTACTGGATGAGGCTCTGAAACATTGCCATCAGCCGTGACTTCCCAAAAGTGACTCCCTTTGAAGATGTACAGTCGCCATTGCCCATCTGTCCCGAGACAAGCGACGTGAGAAGAGGCTATTGGCCTCCTGATGATTTTGGAGGTTTCCCAGACAAGCTGAAGGTAGAATGCAGGGGGTGGGGAGGGGCTGAGGGAAGCAGGAGTTCTTTGCTCAGCCTGAGCTCGCCCATCTCTGAGGAAAGCGTGTGATTTCAGATGTCTATATTCTAGATATCCCCCTCACACCTTGTAATTCAGCTCTAGACCCCTGGAGATGTGGAGGACGGAAGAAAGATACCAGGCATGGTTGGGACCATCTTACCTACAGTGATGGCATCAAAGGAAGAGTGGCAGTATTTAGGACCTCTGGTTTCCGAGCGACTGCTCTGGGAGTTGTGGGGGTCCCAGGCCTCAAAGTTAGTGAACACCTTTCCGGGGAGTTGGGTGGTTACTGAGCGCCCCAGAGGCTTTCCTTAAGATCGGGGTGGGGGGAGAGACAGAGAGAGACATTCATGGGTAGGAGCATATGGAGGGCTCAAGACCCTTCCTTCTGCTCCGCCTATGATCTGAGACAGGTGAAGGAAAGAGTAAGGGGTGTGTGCGGCCCCAGTTGTTGGTTTTATCCAAGAGCTCACTATCCCAGAAATCTCTCCCACTCAACAGCCCAGGAGTGATTTACTGAGATGAGAGCGGAGACCGAAGGGTTTTGAGCGAAGGACAGCGGTTTGCTCTTATGGATTGCTTGGAACTGATAGATAAAGCAGAGCCGCGGATATTCAGATTTCAAGGGAGTCTTAGGGGCTTTAGGACAAGGAAGGACTGAGCAAGGAACCGAGGAGGGGTGAGGGTGTGGGTATCCTATTTGAGAAGCCAGAGTCCGAAGACCCCAGGGGCTGGAGGCTCACCGTACAGGCTCTGCACCGCCAGCACATCGTCCCAGCTGAGCAAGGCGTCGCGGCCCAGCTTCTTGTAGTAGGGCGCCATGAGCGCACGTGGCGCGGGCGAGTGCGTGAGACCGAGCGTGTGGCCGATCTCGTGCGCCAGCACCACGAACAAGTTGCGCCCACGGCGGCTCAGAGACCAGCGCTCGTCTCCGTCGAAATGCGCTTCGCCCCGGCGGGGCAGGAAGGCGTGCGCCAGGGCGCCCCCTGAGTAAAAAGTGGAGGGTCAGGGGGAGCCAAGACCCGGAACTCCCTCCTGCAGGCATCGGCTCCCACGTTAGGGGTGTGGTCTACTAATTTCCGTCTCTGTAGAGTCTGATGGATGCAGGAGTGCGGGCAGGTGAGCAGATGACTCTTAAGAGGAAGTACACTGTAGATTTAGGGGCCAAACTGCCTTGGTTCCAGTACTAGATTTACTTTTTACTAGCTGTGTGATCTGAAAATGGGTATGATGATGAACTTTTTCCTTATAAGAATGAACGTGTGTTACACTTGGTTCTTAGGACATAGCCTAATCTAGGAATTATTAATGTTGGCTACCAATAGAAGAGGGATGGTAAGGCTTTCTGAGGCTTCCTGACCTGGGCACTTGGTGTGTTTCTGTTCAGGAATCTGCATATTTAACAGTGTGCTTCTATGTGTGGAATTGAAGGCCAGCAGGGGGCTACATTAGAGAGACTGGTTTTTGTTGTCTTAAGTGTGTGTCAAATGTGACTTGTGGGGATCAGAGGACAACCTGAGGGACTCCGTTCTCAACTTCAACCATGCGGATCCCAGGGACGAAACTTAGGTCCGCAGGCTTGGCAACAGGGACAAGACCCTTCACCCATACTCCTGAGTCATACCAGGGTCTTATTATGCTCTCTCTCTCTCTGTGTGTGTGTGTGTGTGCGTATGTGTGCAAGTGTGTGTGTAAATTCATGTATGTTGCATGTGTGCTCACCTATGCAGGCCAGAGGCTGATACTGGGATGTCTTGTCTCAGTAACTTTTCTAACTTAAACACACACACACCTGCCCCTTTTTAATCTTTTGAGACAGTGTCTTTTTGTAGCCCTGGGCTGCTTGGAGCCCTTAGATCTTTCTGTCCCTGCCTCTCAAGTGCTAAAATTAAAGGTAAGGGTCCCTACATCCCCCCCCATTAAATGATCTAATTTATTTTATTTATTGTATTTTGTCTGCATGTGTGTCTGTGTGTACCACGTGTGCCTGTTGCCCTCAGATGCCAAGAGAGGGTGTGGGACACCTGCAACTGCTGTTACAGTTATGAGCCGTTGTGGATGGTGAGAGCCAAAGTTGGGTTCTTCAGAGGAGCCACTGGCGCTCGTAAGCACCGAACCACCTCTCCAGCCCCCCCCCCCACTAGAATATCATTGTTACTATCAATTTCGAGACAGGGCCTCTCACTGAACCTGAAGCTTGCCATTCTGGCTAGATTGGCTGGCCAGTGAGCCCCCAAGGTTTTCCTGTCTCCATCCCCCAGTGCTGGGGTTACATTCGTGCTGAGAATCTGAGCCCAGGTCCTCACACTTGCACAGCACTGAGGCATCTCCCCAGTTTCATGGCCTCCGGGGTGCCAGGGTTACAGGCATGTGCTACCACGCCTGGCTGATGTATCTAGTTTTGTGTAAACATGTGTCTTCCCCTGCCAGGGCTCCTCTAGGCCCCTCTCCCTGTTCATCATAGGACTGAGCAGAGACAGTAAGCTCCTCAGTGATTGTCACAAGTACATCTGGGTCCCCACAGAAATAACTAGATGTGGCTTCTAGGTCCTGCCCCTCATATACACCTTCCACTGAGGCAAGTGACCCTGACAGAGGTTAGCAAACAGTACTGTGACAGTGTTAGCCTAGGAGCTCATCAAGAGCCCTTCCAGCATTGCCTTCTAGGAGCCCAGGTGGGCAGGGTCTGACAGGCAGGGGGAGCACTAGCTTTAGCCATCTCCAGCACTGCTCAGCCTGCTCAGCTCTCACTGAGGAGCACAAATAGCAGGTAGTCAGATTCTGAAGGCCAGTGCTGAGCAGAATGGAAGAATGGCTCACTTTGTAGAGGAAGCCTTCAGGCTGGGGACAAATGGACCTGGCTGTGGCTCTGATCTCTGAAGCACTTCTGTGAGTGTAGGGTAAAGACTCCTGACTATCAGGAGACAGGGGAGGAAGGGGCTGATGGAGGCCTCAGGGTATCTTGTGAAAATCTACTCTGAAGAACAACAGAAGCACAGGTCTGTCTAGAAGTAGGAATAGACAGGATTCCTGAATATTCTCGAGGAACCCAGCATACTCTAGAGCTAGCAAAGTGCTTTCCACACCAAATCTTATCTGGCTGTCCTTTCAGCCATGTGGTACACCTTGGGCAGGGCCTGCTGTTCCCGTTTTACAGATGAAGTGATAGAGGGTCCTTTGGAGGAGGAACTTGGTTTGGCTGTGCTTTCAAGAATAGAAACTCTACTGCCACCCCCAGGCTGCCTTTCCTAGGTGGGCACCTCTCTCGCTTGTGGAAGGAGGCTTCGTGACAGCACCTGGGCCATCGAAGGCATTGGCCAGCCCATCATTGTGGTCTCCTTGGAAGAAGGTGAGGCGGATGTCAGCAGGGCCTGTGGCTGGGGCCTCCCAGAACTCCAGCGCTGACACATTACTCCACAGCTGGAAGGCAGCACGTACGGCCCCTCGAACAGCTGGCTCCGGCAGGCGCTCAGGCCAGTTCACCAGGCGGTAGGAAAGATGCTGTTTGTACCATTTGTTACCTGTCACCCAGAAAGGCCATGTGAGTCATACGTGCTACGGAGGCTGGTCCCCACAGGCCCAGTAGGATGGGTTGGCCCTGCCCCAGGAGCCCTTGATCTGATAGGGAACACTCAGCTCTTGCCTTGGGCAGCCTCCCATTTGATAGGTGGAAAGATATGTCACTGTGGAAGCAAGCTCTCAGCCTGGGCAGACTACCCTTCCCCTGAAGACTCTCCAATTTATTGGTCTGGGAGGTCTGCTGTTAGAGATGATGTAGCTTCTTCCAGGAAAAGACCCCCCTTCAAGGATCAGTCCGAACCCCTGGTCTCCCGTCTTATTCTTCTCCACAGCCTAGGCTGCGTCTGAGGAAGCTATATGCCTCTTGCTGACTGACAATCACTCTGAAGCCCAACCTCAGTGTCTGGATGGAGAGACAATGAGGGTCACTGAGGTCACAGCTGTGCCTGCCTCAGGCGCTCCATCCACCCTCACAGTCTCCTGCCACCTCCCAGAGCCTCCACTCTGCACTTGCGAGAACCTAGGGCCCACAACTGGCCAACAACCAAAAACCCCATATATTCGAGGTCTTTCCTTAACCCCTTGACCTCCTCTCCAATTCCTTGGGGACTTTGGCGAGCTCTGAGTTGAAGATGAATAAGAACAAAGGGTGTGTTTTGTCACAGGCCCAAAATAAGTTTTCCATCTCTTCTTCCTTAAGTCGCTTTCCCTTTGGCTCAAACCTCAGATCCTCCCTGAGGGCTGGGACTCTGGCCTCTGCTACAGCCCTAGGTCATTCATTACACTGGACTCATCTGCTGTTTTGCTGGACAGCCAGGAGCAGAGTAGCCAGAAAGTCTGGCTTCTGGGTTTGTCAGGGATGGCCTCTGGGCCCCATACCTCAGAGTCTGAAATCCCAAATGGAAGCCTTAAAGCTTTCAGGCAAGATTCCAGGGGCCCAGACTTTGATGCCTGTGACCCCAGGGGAAGGCTCCTGCCCACAGCTGCAGAACAAGAGAGGAACTGAGCTGGACACCCCCTCCCTACACCCTCCCACACCCTCCCTGAACCCCCTCCAACCCCTGGCCCAGGACTCCTACTGTACCACATAGATAAGCAAGCAATCCTTTCCACAGAGATGCCAGGCCTATAAATCTGCTTAAACATCACTTGGTCCCGTCAAAGCTTAGCAAGGGCTGAGATTTCCCCAGATGGAAGGGAGGTTCCTTCTGGCCCTCTCTACCCATGGAGTAGAGGTGGGGTGTGCCCCCTCTACTCAAAGCAAGGCTTCTCCTTGAGCTTGTTTGGCCTGGCAACCACCCAACTACTGCCTCTCAGCCAGTGACCAGTCCTTAGGGAGTGAAGAGGGAATTATTTTAAAGGAGGGAGACAGGGAAGGTGGAGGCAAGGTTGGGGGTCCCGAGGTATCCACCCAGGCAAGTTCATTCTTTACTGAGAACACCCTGCTGCTGCTATAAGTCCTCCCAAGGCACAGAACAGCTGCACTAGCCTTTCTTACATCGTGTTGTGACTCTAAGACTCGTCCCAACCACTGTCACCAAACCAAATTGTTAACCCTCTAGCAAATGATGCCATCCCCCTCACCTCCCTACCAGAGCAGGAAAGAGGGAGGGTGGTTGGTAGTCATTTTAATGGCCAATGAAGGTGATAGGTCTCCAGAAAAGAATCCTCTGTAAAGTGTGGTGGGGGAAGGGTAGGGAGAATGAATAGGAACAGGAACTGGGGGAGGGGAGAAGAGTGCTTTCCTCAGGAGGGACCAGGAAGGAAGGAACTGCCTGCACGGGTAGGGGCAGCACTAGGCTGAAACCTTGTCCTCTTTGACTTTGGCCCCCAGGAGATGCTGCCTGTTGAGGCCCTATTCTCAAGTCCTGCCTGGGCAGGGCTGCTTTTCAAGATAATCCCAGGCTCTCAGCATGTGGTATTGCCTGCTAGGTCCTCTCTTCAGGGTCCCAAAGGGACCAGGGAAGAACAGGAGCTAAGGAGGCCAGGGATGGGAAAACTAGAAGTTTGGGGTAGGAAGGATAGTGGAGGCCTGACTCCCAGCAGGCAACTATTGATTGGAAGGGTTATAGGCAGAAATTGTAGTCCTGCACATGCAAGCCCCCAGGAATTGGTGGAATCTCTCTGAGCCTCAGTTTCCCCCCTCTGTACAGAAGCCTTATCTTTTAGAATGGCATCAGGAAACTGCCTGAAATGCAGTGAGGGCTTAGAAAACACCCACTTGCTTTGATTTCCTTTTCCAACTCTGATGTACCACCCCGCTCCTCAACCCACCAACTCTGTGGAGAAGAGGTAGACTTCCCAGCTCTACTGAACTAGAACATGCACAGAGAGGAGCAGGTGCTTGACCTGAGGTTCCAGATGCAGCACATATGAATACGGCATGCCCAGTAAAATTTGAACGTGAAAATATAAATACAGTCCCTTATTGTTCATCTGAGTTCAGTTTTAACTAGGCATCCTGCATTTCTCTGGCAATTAGGTATTCCAAACTGCTAGCTACAAATGCACTAGATCCTACCTTGGGGGCAGGAGAAGGTAAGACAGCCAGAAAGAAACATCCCCAGAACTCAGGCTCAAGAGTTTCTGGGCCTGCTCACTTCCCACTACATGCCTACAGGCCATCCAGAACTTGGTAGTCTGGGGGTGGGGGGTGGGGGGTTGGTGGAGGTGGGGGGGGTGAGGGGAGGGTTGGTGGAGGTGGATGACTCTCCTTTGCAATTCAGAAAGGACTGACCCTTGTGTGAGGGAGGAGGAGGGATCAGAACTGAGTGCTATGACTTGGTTGTGACAACTGATATTTGAGCCCCAAGCTTCGAGTTCCAGTGTCCTCTCTGCTCTGGCCTGTTGTGAGCCTGTGCCTCCCTATTTTTTTACTTTACTTTTCTTTCTATTTCCCAGGAACACAATGGGATGTCCACATCTGACACCAAGGATATCTTTACCCCAGGGCCACGACCCCAGAGTTGACTGTGAATGACTATGGTCATTCAGAACAGGGCAGTCGGGGTGAATGGACATGCAGATGCACCAGCAATGGACTAGCACATGCCTGGAAACAGTCACCCAACAGCTGCCCACAATCTCCTTCTACATTAGCCAAGACAAGAAAACATATTCTGTGTACAGCAAAAGGAGCTGGTAAAAACAGCACAGTTAAAAGTGTGCACGGGGGCCAGGCAGCGATGGCACACCTTTAATCCCAGCACTTGGGAGGCAGAGGCAGGTGGATTTCTGAGTTCGAGGCCAGCCTGGTCTACAGACTGAGTTCCAGGACAGCCAGGGCTACACAGAGAAGCCCTGTCTCAAAAAAAAAAAAAAAAAAAAAAAAAAGTATGCATGGGGGCTGGAGAGATGGCTCAGCAGTTAAGAGCACTGACTGGTTTTGCAGAGGTCCTGAGTTCAATTCCCAGCAACCACAACCATCTGTAATGAGATCTGATGCCTTCTTCTGGTGTGTCTGAAGACAGTTACAGTGTACTCATATGATATACATAAAGAAAAACATGCATGGTCCAAAGTGTACCCAATACAATCAATTATACTTGAAAACTTGACGGAAAAACCATATCTTGTGAGCAACCTTGAAAGCTGCAAAAACTGCTCAAAGAAAAACTGATTTAGTCAAAGCAACCATGATACTAAAATTCCACACAGTAAAACTTATTTGTGGAAAATAGACAGAAAAATCAAATCTTCATAAATCTTAAATGGCTAGCATTTGACCCTGGAATATTTGACTGGGGGATGCAGAAGAGTAAGAGAAGAAAAAAAGAAAGAGAGAAGGAGGAGGAAAAAAGTATCAGGAGGGAGAGGAAAAAATGGGAGGAGGGAAAGGAGGAGAAAAGCAAGGAGGAAGGAGAAGAGAGAAGGACTGCGACATAGGTCAGAGGCATCACTCATGGCTCTGGGTTCAAATACCCCTTGGAAAGGAAGTAGCAGGAAGGGAGAAGAGGAGAGAGAAAGAGAAGACAAAAACAGCTTCCAACAAGAGAAACTGGCTGGGCGGTGGTGGCGCACGCCTTTAAACCCAGCACTTGGGAGGCAGAGGCAGGCAGATTTCTGAGTTCGAGGCCAGCCTGGTCTACAGAGTGAGTTCCAGGACAGCCAGGGCTATACAGAGAAACCCTGTCTTGAAAAAAAAAAGAAAAAAAAAAGAAAGAAAGAAAGAAAGAGAGAGAGAAACTGGCCAGAGCACACAGTAGGCTGTGATGAAATGTTCAAAATAGGCAGATCCCCTGAGACAGAAAGCAGATTAGTGGTTGCCAGGGCAGGCAGCAGGGTACAGTGGAGAGCTAACTGTTTGTTAATGGGCACAGCATTTCTTCAGAGGATAATGAAAACGTTCTGGAAGGAGGGATTAGCTTGTGGTAATGGTTGGACAAGTCTACAAATATACTAAACCCCATTGAATTGGATACTTTAAATGGGTAGATTGTGTGGTAAAATAATAAAACTTTTTTTTAAAATGCTATGAACAAAATAAAACTCAGTGGGTCACATCTTGGTTAATAAGTGTTATGAAAAAAATAGACTCTTCTGGAAATAGCGGCAACAAGATATACCCAAAAACTACTGTCAACAGCTTAACTGCCCTGCACAGAAAACTGATCAGAGAATTGAGTGGCCTTGATGAGGTTTAATCTGGAGAATATATGTACAATGAAAACTCATCAATGCAGATAAAATTTAGAGTTAAATATCTGTATTCCTGATTAAGATCCTTGAGTCAAATAATCTGCCTCCAGGGAAGAGGGGCTTCTCCCAGAGTTTTGTCTCAGTTCAGCCACTTTTTTTTTTTTTTTTTTTTTTTTTTTTGGCCACAGGCCCTTCTGGACATGGAGAAATCCCAGCCTGGTTGATTTTAATGCACTCACCTGACTTTGCAAAGCGTTTCTTACGCCTCGTTTTGGCTCGGTGTCCAGCAAGCAGGGCACTGGTCCTCTCTGTCCAAGTTGCATGACTGTCAGTATCTGCAACCCCACAGCGTGGGCGTGTCATCTGGCGCAGTGTGGCCTGGTCCAGCACACCACTGATGGGCAACTGGGATACCCACTGGAACTCTCTGTCAGGAGGAAGTGAGAGAAAGGACTGCAGAGGAAGGGTCCGGGGGAGCTTGTATCTTGCACTCCCTCACATCCCTCCATCATACCTGATGGCGTTACTGAACTGATCGGAGGCTGGAGATTTGGAACCCTGCTCACTGAGGTATCCGTACTTCTCCAGGAATGCCTGGGGGAGAGAGGACCGTCAGCTCTTCTCATCATGCTGCACTGCACCCTTGTCTCCTCTTGTACAAGGGCCTGAGGCACATACATCCAGACCGGTTTCCCTTCCCTGTCCCAAGAATATTTGTAAATGACAGCAGAGAAAGTTCTGGCATTAAGGTCAGAAGGGCATCATCGATTAGCTGGAATGTCAAAGGCAAACTACTAAACATATCGAACATCCAGCTTTCGTATAATCTCCTGGCATTGTCGGAAACCTAGTGGGGTGCTCTGGACAGGGATGGTCTCTGGAGGTAGGCTGGTCTGGATTTGAATTCAAACTTTTAAGTTACTTCTCTAAGCTACATGTTTCTCAGCTACAGAGCAGTTGTTATTAAGAACTTACTCTTTTATGAGAACTGGTCACAAAAGCACTTAATGTGGCTTCTGTCACAGGAGAGGCACCCCACACTGAGTAGCTGGTGTACCTGTTTTGCACATAGACAGTATCCATGTGCATTGCATTTGCTTTGAAATATCTAAGTGCTCTAGGAGCTAACTGGGTCCTGGCTCTGCCCTGCCTGGTCTTGCACAAAGTTATCCATCTGATTTCAGCTTCTTTCTAATTCTCTTCTCCTAAAGGGCAAAGACGTTAAAGCCCTTTGACATAAAATATGCTTACTGATATAAAAATACGACTTTCAGGGGCTGGAGAGATGCCTCAGCATTAAGAGAACATATTGCTCTTGCAGAGGACCCGGGTTCTGTTCCCAGTGCCCACATGGTGGTCCAAAAACACCTATAACTCTAGTTCCAGGGGACCTGACACCCTCTTCTGACCTCTGTGGGATCCTGCAGGCATGTGGTGAACAGGCACGTGCATTCACATAAAAGAAATAAGTATTTTTTAGAAACCAAAAGCTGGCACACACCTTTAATCCCAGACCTCGGGAAGCAGAGGCAGGCAAGTCTCTGACTTTGAGGCCAGCCTGGTCTACAGAGCGTGTTCCAGGACAGCCAGGGCTACACAGAGAAATCCTGTCTCAAAAAACCAAGATAGATAAAGAAATAAATAATAAATAAAATAAAAAATAATAAAAAACCCCAACAAAACAAAGCAAGCGAAATATTCCCATCCATCTTCAGTAACCTCAACTGTCGGACTTCCATCAGACACATTCTGTAAGGAGCATCGTTCTGGACAGCAGACCACTTCCCAACCCAGCCTGGCTGTTTCTCTGATGGTTTATTTGTGTCTCAGCACCCTTGTTTTCATCTTTCCCTTTGTAATATATATATATCATTCTCACACAAATATTGGAGTAAAGGAGTCCTAGGGTCTCAGTCAGCGAGATTATGTGTTGCTCACCAGACTTGAAGATAAAGAATGTTTCTAACCTTGACTCTACTAGGTGACAGGACATTATTTCTTTGAGCTTTCGTTTCTGTTCTTTTTTTGTTTTGTTTTGTTTTGTTTTCCTACAATGTGAAAATAAGATGAACCTCACAGGCTCCTCAGGATGACAGACAATGCATACAGAGTGCGGTAGGACCTGCCTGTGATCCCAGTACTCAGGAAGATGAAGCTAGAGGGTCTTTGGCTCAAGACCAGCTTGGCATAGTGAGTTCAAAGCCACCCTGAGCCACACTGTAAAATGCTATCTTAAAAAATAAAATAATAAAGAAAGCAATGCACATCTGGCAGAGTGCCAGACACACTGTAAATGCCCAGGAAGTGCCAGTTTCACTAGTTCTCTTTAGCAGGGAAAATTAACTGTAGGCTTAGAACATAGCTCACCTGTACCTCCGTGCTCTGTTCAGGAACTGCTACCTGGCACTTGCCTCACTTCAGTGAGGCTCCAGCTCTCCTCCCTACCCCTTCCCTTTCCTTTGGTGTGGCTGGAAAGAGGAATTTACACTGAAGCCTTTTAGCTGGACCAGTGACTTCCAAGAGACCCGGACACAGGTCAGCTTGGCTGGCACTCCCTTGTTTCTCTTCCCACAAACCCTCCCAGACTTTATCAGGGAGTTGGCTGAAGTTCTGGGACAGGGGGGAGGAGGGGAAGTTGTGTGGTGGGGCCCTTGTTTCCTGGCTGGGCTGCATTGCTTGGTACTCTGGCAACAAGTTGGGGCAGAGGCGGGTTCAGAGGTCGTTAGAGGGTGGAAACGCTGGCCTCTGTAGTGGTTCTGCAGAGCTGAATTCCCATTAAGGAGAAAGAACACACGCCCAGGACACCAGCCAAGCCGAGGCACCAGAGAATGAGAAAAAGGCATTTTAAGAATTTGACATTTTATATTTCCATAACAGCACTGGAATATTATAATGGAGATCATCTAGATTTATGGACTTCATGCTTATGCATAACAACACATATTTAGACATTTAAAATGACATACAGGAAGGGGCCCCTTGCTACTGCTAGTACTCTGAAGTTCTGGGCAGTAGAGGAGAGAGGAGGTAGGCTCCTGCCCCTGGAACTGTCCTAACCTTCTTTGCTATTTTTCTGTGCCTCAGTCTCTCTGCCCAGATTAGAGAAATGCCCAACCTTGCAAAGGAGAAAGATCGGCAGTAAGGTGAGTAGATAACTGCTTGACAGTGGGGAACGAAGGAATCTCACAAGACCCAGACTGCTGGATGAACACTGGGCCTCACTCATGCCCCTTTGGGTTGGAATCTCTCTTCCTGGCTTCCATTTTCTGACTTGTGTCTTTGGGACTCTGTCCAGGGTTATCTCTTCCCCTGCTTTCTGAAGGTGGTGCCAGGCAGCTCCTCCCTGCCTAGAACTCCAAGCAACTGGCTGTCTCTCTCTCCTGGTCTCTGCTTGCCTGTTCTCTCTCCTAGGGAGCCCAAGGCTAGATCTAAAGGGAAAGGAAGCTGAGGGCCTTACCCTTTAGGTGATTCACCCTGTTTTAGCCTAAAAACTTGTGCCAACATGCCCGGCCCATCTTATGTAAGGATGGTGCCACTTTACTGGGGAGTCATTTCTGAATGTTCCTGGGAGTGGCAGTGGTACCTGGGTAAAATGAGCATGCTCACAGGCTGGGTGGGACTGCCACTCTAGAGGATGTCCAGTATGGGTCCCTACTTGTCACGAAAGGGTGTATGTCTAGCTCAGCCTGTTCGGAAAGGGAAATTCTGGCCATTTCTGAGCATAATAATGAGGCAGAGTCAAGAACTGAGCCACTGGACTGAGAGTCGGTGAGTCCCTGCTGCTACCGTGTCCTCAGGTCTGTTATTTTCTGGACCTCAGATTCCTCTTATAAACATGGTACTGGATTAGAGCCGGAGATCTCACCCAGCCTTAGCTGTCATTGCAGATAAACGGCCAGTGTGTATACTCTGATAGAAGTGCCTAACCACTCTGCCCCAGTAGACATCAGGTGGGGGACCACTACCTGACTGCCCTCACCACACATTTGAGTAAAATGCTCTGGGAAAGCTCCAGGGAAGTCATCCCACTAAAAACAATATTTTAACATCTGTGGTTACAGGGCTTTATTGGCAGCTGGGACCTTTGCCAGGCCACTCTAGTCATCAGCCTCTTAAACACTCTCTGCATCAATTTCTGAAGCAAAAATAAGCCAAAGAGGCTGGCAAGATGTCCTAGCAAGTAGACACTCACCACCGAACCTGACAACCTGAGTCTGATCCTCAGGACCCATGTAGTGGAGAGAGACTCCAGCAGGCTATCCTTTGACCTCCACGGGTGCATAGTATCACAATGGCACAAACACACATGCACACACACGAGAGTACACAAACACACACACACACACACAGCACTTAAAAATGCAAAATGACAGATTCGTGCAGAAGCCATGTTGGCTTACTCATGCACTAGGCCACCTACCTTTCTTCCTCTTGTCATTTCCTTCTCTTTTTTCCTTTTCTGTTTTTTTTTTTGGGGGGGGGTTCTCGAGGTGCTGGTTGGCCTGGAACTTGTAGCAATCTTCCTGCCTCTATCTCCTGCATATTCTACTTCATGGTTTCTGTGTCCACACAGCCACACGGTGAGTTCCACTTATCCCTCAAGTGTACCTCTAGCTACTAGCCGAGCTAAGATATAAGGGACATCAGCTAGTGTCCTGCCTTGATCTATGTAAAGAAGGTCTCTGGTGACCAGGAGCACAAGCAGTCCTTCAAATCTGTGGAGCTTTCTAGATGTTATGCCTTCTTTGAACCTTATACCACCTTGCAGGAAGATAGCAAGCGCAGGTGAACTTACTCCCATGTTAAAGGACAGTCGGGGAGCAGGCATCATGTTGAAGTGACTCTACCTAATGAGGGGTAGAACCAGTAGTTGAATCCAGACCCCATGGGAACTAGCCCAGGGGTTTTGTTGACATCTGCATTAGTGATTCCTCAGCTTTTATGTGGGGGTATGGAAGGATGAGGTAAGCAGCTCTCCCAACCTGGACCTGGCAGTAGTGGCTCTCAGATATACCAGAGGTGAAGCTGGGGTTTTCTTCTGCAGGAAGTCGGGTAGACAGGAGAAGCTGCTTGGACAGTGGACTCCAGTGTTGTCAGATGGAGCCCAGGCACACCCTAACAGATCATTTGACAAGCCACAGGTTCCCAACAGTACTGGGCTGTGGACTTCAAAAACTCCAACGTCTGTTTCCAGAATACTCTACTTCCCTGGCTCCGGGGGAGAGGGGTCAGCCCAGCCCTTCCCCTGTGGATTGGACCTACGCCTTTTCCTCCTATCTGTCTGATTCCTCTCCTTGACCCAGTTCTGCCGTTCACAAGGATTTGTCCAGGTGTAGCCTAGATAACACCTGAAGTATTCTTTCTTTTTGTCCTTAGGCAAGATGGAAATTATTGTCTGGCTAATCTCCAACAAGATTCAATCTATTTTTTTATATTTTTATTTATTTATTTATTTTGGTTTTTCGAGACAGGGTTTCTCTGTATAGTCCTGGCTGTCCTGGAACTCACTCTGTAGACCAGGCTGGCCTCGAACTCAGAAATCCGCCTGCCTCTGCCTCCCAAGTGCTGGGTTTAAAGGCGTGCGCCACCACCGC